AGACCTTTTTTATATCATTCCAGGCCTTAAGTTTCTTAAGAAGCAAAACAGCCTCCTTGGTTTTCTTGTAGCTTCAACTGTATCTTCAACCACCAAAGGAAGTTCAGGAGCTTCCTCAATACGGTGACCTTTAGACATGACCAACGCTGGTAAGGCTGAGGCAGCGAGGGCAGAGCAGATGGCATATCGTTTCTGTGTTGTGTTTACTCTGCAGTGCCAATGGCGCCAGGTTTTGGTTGGTGCAAATATGCGGCCTCCACAACACATATTTCCAAAAGCACCCTGGCCAGAACGATGAGTTCCACCACCTCCGACTCTGGGAATTCGAGCCACAGCTCTGCCATACCCCAGGACTCCGCACTGGTTTGATGATCTGCCAATTCACTGACAGCATAGGGCTGTCCATTGTTTTTGCGCAAGTTGGTGTGAACAAAATTCACAATATCTGATCAAATGGGAGCCTTGAACACAGCAGGCAAAGTGACATTTTTTGCCAGATGTTTCCCCCTTTTCAGAGTACACAGATATCAGTGGACGAGCACACACCATGGCAGGGAGAGGAGAAGGCCACACTCCTGAGCACCTATTTCTTATAGAGAACTGTGAAAGACCCAAAAGATGAAAGAAAAAATAAATTTAAAAGTTAAAAGCAGAATCCATTTTTGGAAATTGAAAATTAATGACCAAAATGTAAGCTTCTTGGAGGCTGAAACCATATCTGGTAGAGGATATAAGAAAACTATTATTATACAAGGGAATGTAATAGCTGCTATAATAAATGTTACAAACAAAATATTTTTTAATTCAAAGAACATGAGATTAATTTTAGACAGGCAAATGAAAAAGACTTTTCAAAAGAGGTAGCATTGAGCTAGGATTGGAAATTTGATGAGGGTTATCATTCTTAATTCTCATGTTTCATTCAGAGGACAACATTTCTGCAAAGAGATGTTTCTTATGCCTATTTTATTTTTTATTATACTTATGATTTGCTTTTCTTATTCTTGTTTTCCCCCCAGGGTTAAGATTTTATTCACCTAACCCTGGCTGGTGGTCAGTAGTTTGGAGCGTTGTCCTATACACCAAGAAGGTTGTAGGTTTGATTCCCTATCAGGCAAATACCTAGGTTGCTGGTTCAATCCCCAGTCCATATGAGGAATGTATAGGTGGGTGGCAACCGACGCATGTTTCTCTCTCACTCCAAAGTCTCTCTCTCTCTCTCTCTCTCTCTCTCTCTCTCTCTCTCTCTTTTCTTTCCCTTCCTCTCTTAAATCAATAAAAACATATCCTCAGGAGATGATTAAATAATAATGACAATAATAAGCCTTATGCATTTCTAATTTTTAAAAAAGGTTTTATTTCACTTAACTAGAAAGTCAGACTTACCATATCAGATCTGGAAATAGAAAGTCAGAATTACCATATCAGACCAGGAATGGTTGAATACACTTGTTGATGGTAAAATATTCAGAATACAGAAATTTGGATGTGCCTTCTTCACCAATTCTATGACAGCATTTTATGCATTTAAAAAGGTCCATTTGTATAGTTTGACCTGACCACTCATATGAGGAACTATGAAATTATTTACTACTAGAGGCCCAGTGCATGAAAATTCATGCACTGGAGGGGGGGGGGGTCCCTCAGCCCAGCCTGCCCCTTCTCACAGTCCTGGAGCTCTCAGGGGTAGGAGGCGACCCAGCGGTCAGGGGAAGGCGATGCCCCATCACACCTCTGCTGCTGCCACTGCCAGCAGTGCAAGCCTCGGCCGGCCCTGGTTACCTGAGCCTCAGGCGGCCCTGGGCGGCTGGGCAGCTACCATCCGAGGCTTGCCTGGGCCTCGGGCCAGCCCTGGGCAGCTGGGAGGCTTAGAGGACTGGGGGACTCTGGACATCCTTATTACTATCATAATCAAATGTGCTTGTTCTTCAGTCCTATCTATAGTGTTCTGGGAGATAATTATCCATCACTAGAGGCCCGATGCACAAAATTAGTGTAAGGGGCTCGGCCCTCGCAGCCCCAGCTTCGTCTGGAAGGTCGTCCAGAAGGATGTCTGGAAGGTCATTCGACTGTCTGGTCTAATTAGCATATTACGCTTTTATCACTATAGATAGGTCTCTCCCATATCCGCATTTCTTGCAAGAAGAGGCACTGACTATATTTTTAAGGATGTTCATATAGCAAATATTCATGAAGGATAGAGATAGTGTCCCCTTGTACGGAAAAGGGCAGATTTGTTTATTATCTGGTGTACTGTATGTTTTCCTCCCACTCTGCTCCTGCAGATAATATCCCCTAGCCAACAACCCTCCTTATCAAGGGGACAAGTCACAGTTCCTGCTTAACCCTGAGTAGTGGGTTTCAGTTCCCTGCCATCCTGCAGAATTATTCAGACAAGCCAAGCACATTTTCTCACAGGAAGCAAGGGGCACTTCACCCTCTTGATATTACAACGCTTGCTTCCCATAGTGCCTAGTTGTTAACTCTGTTCCTATGTGCAATCCCATGTAACCTGCAAGGCATATGGTGTCTTCCCCTGGGCTGTGAGTAGCCTATATAATAAAGAGGTAATATGCAAATTGACCATCATGCCCTCACACAAGATGGCTGCCCCCATGTGGTCACAAGATGGCCACCACAAGATTGCCAGCAGGGGAGGGCAGTTGTGGGCAATCAGGCCAGCAGGGGAGGGCAGTTGGGGGCAACCGGGCCTGCAGGGGAGGGCAGTTGGGGGTGACCAGGCCTGCAGGGGAGGGCAGTTGGGGGGACCAGGCCTGCTGGGGAGAGCAATTGGGGGTGACCAGGCCTGCAGGGGAGGGCAGTTGGGGGCCTCCAGGCAAGCAGGGGAGGGCAGTTGGGGGGACCAGACTGGCAGAGAAGGGCAGTTAGAGGCGACAAGGCCTGCAAGGAAGGGCAGTTGGGGGCAACTGGGCCGGCAGGGGAGGGCAGTTGGGGGCCTCCAGGCAAGCAGGGGAGGGCAGTTGGGGGGACCAGGCCAGCAGAGGAGGGCAGTTAGAGGCAACGAGGCCTGCAGGGGAGGGCAGTTAGGAGTCACCGGGCCTGCAGGGGAGGGCAGTTGGGGGTAACCAGGCCTGCAGGAGAGGGCAATTAGAGGCAACCAGGCCGTCAGGGGAAGGTAGTTGGGGGTTATCAGGCTGGCAGGCAGAAGCAGTTAGGGGCAATCAGGCAGGCAGGCAGGCAGGTGAGCAGTTGGGAGCCAGCAGTCCTGGATTGTGAGAGGGATGTCTGACTGCCGGTTTAGGCCTGATACCACAGAGCCTAAACCGGCAGGACATCCCCAAGGGGTCCCAGATTGGAGAAGGTGCAGGCTGGGCTGAGGGACACCCCCCCCCCAGTGTACAAATTTCGTGCACCGGGCCTCTAGTATGTGATAATGAACTGCTGTAGATATCATCTGTCCACTGCCAGGTGTCACGTGTTTGACCATCCCCATAATTGTATGGGTGAGACTCCTTTCCTCACCAATGGAGTGATGAGGAGAAGATTAAAACTTCCAGTGAAACAAAGATAATGTTTCTCTCCAGAAAAAAAGGTTGAACAAGTTAATGTGCAGCCCATTATAAAACATTCAAGTTCCCAAAAGTGCAGGATTCCTCAGCTGTGATGCAAACCTACTGTATGCAGTTTTCATCTAGCAGCCTTCTGCATTGCCCTGTGGGAAGTGGGAAGTAGGCATGACAAGGGAACCTGACATGAACATGAAGTTCATGCTGATTGCTGAACAATGAATAATGAAATCCTTTGTCTCTGACCTAGGAGTTTTATATCTTCTGCTAGTATCCATGAAACTGTCATGCAAGTAAAACTTCAGACCATTTACAGTTCTTGACACATTGTATAGCCTGACATAACTAATTTGCACTGTTTTCATGGTGTCTCTTCTTTATTAATCAACCAATATAAGCCCGATTTTGCAATGGTTCTGACTTGGGCATAATCTGGTTCAGTTAAAGTTAAAGCCTTTGGTCAATCTGGTTCACTGATATTGTAAGTTTTCTTTCTCATAGATTATTAAGACCTATGATATTGACTTCCACTGGTTTAAAAATGTCATTGCTACCACTGGGATACTGAAGAATAAATCACTGAAATCATTGGCTGTTGTCTATAGTAAAAGAGTCCTAATTAAATAAAGATAGTATTTATTGGGATGTACGGAAAGGTACCTATTATCCAAGTGTTCAGTTCAGAGTCTATACAGTAAGTTCCTACAGGGAGCAAAAGCTGCTGTAACACACACAAAAAAATATTCATCAATGAACTACTTTTAGTAACATTAGGCCCTTTTTAAACATTCCTCTTTGATTAATGATACTGTCCATCCATAGTTGTGGTACCAAGGATCTTTCTTTCTTATAAATATCCTAAAAGCAATGCACAATTCAAATTGCAAAGTAAAACTGAAAATTTTGTAAAAAGACTTAGAAATATGAAGTGTTTAAAAATGCTGGCAAACTGTTCAAATAACACACAAAGTCATTGGCAAATAATAACCTGGCAAAATTAAATCAGTTAACAATTGAAGAAGAGAAAATGGACAAGGATGATGATAGCATTGACATTTCAAAAGAGAATTATTTGAGTAATAAAAGCTTAAGAGAGACCCTTAAAATGATGCAGCTCTCAAACATTTTTGCAAAAATGGCCCTCTAATAAAAGTGAGGTGAAGGGTATTATAATCATGC